GGACATAAACCATCTGTTTAATAACTAATAATAAAAATGTTAAAATGGGTGAAAAGCTGTACAAAGTTTTAACATTTCAAACTTAATTTTTTTAACGTTTTCAACTTTTAAACCCAGAAACTGTCGTTTTTTTTCTGTAACTTTAGTTTTTTCTCAGTTTCCAGCATTAAAAGTCTGTCGAGCAGCGCGCTGAGGAGACGGTTCTGTTACTGCGTCACAAACGACACCAATGATTTAGCAGGTAAATAAATTTAAACTCAGAAAAASAACAAATCAGATCTTTTTATAAAGCTTTGTTTTGTTTTAAACGCAGATTTTACAGCCGTGCTGCTGGACGTGATGGGAAACTCAACAAGCTCTCTGCAGGAAATCTTTAAATCTTCCTCCATTTTATCAGGTTGGAGGAGAATTTAAGAATAAACTTAATTAATTATAATTTCTGGAAGTTTTCAGAACATTTTTACTCTCATGTCCTGATCTGTTTCTAACAGGAAGTAAAGAGTTTTTATTTATTTTTATTCTAACTGGATGTTTTTTGTTCCTCAGTGTCTCAGAGGAATAATTCTGACTGTATTTATATCTGTGTGATGGCAGGAAAGACCGGTAAGATGTTTGATTTTTAACTTAGATCACATTTAAAATCTGTTTTTATTCATTACCTTTAAAAAGTACATTTCAGTTTCAAAATAAGAGCCTCTCCTTAGGATTGTTTTGTATTTTAAAAACAAAATAAAAGCTCTACAGGCACRGTATTCCTGTTGGATTTATTGAATATTGTATAATTTGAGATTATCTGTAATCTGTGGAGTGTTTTTTGTCCAGGCAGAGAGGTTCCTGACTTGTGGGATGTGGGCTCCATCGCTCCGCTCTTCAACCAGACCATTGTTGAAGGTCCACATTCAGGTCTGACCCGGTTCTGCCGGTCCGCTGGTCCCTGAGCAGCAGATGGCAGCAAAAACCTAAAAATCCACTCATTCAATGTGAAAATAAGTTCCAGACATGCATGAAAACCACCTGGAGCATTGTTTTTATTCATTTATTCAAGTTTCAGATTAGTTCAGTCTAGAGGACAGTTTAACTTTATTTAACTCAAACTCAACAGTTTCCTGTTTTTAAGCCTCACATGAAAACTGACTTTGTTGTTGAATTTTATTTTTTTTTATGTATTTTAACCAAAGTTAGCCATATTAGCTTGTGTTGCTAATACTCATGCTAAGCTGATGTTAGCAAACTGTTTTAATTACCTATGATCAAAATCTCTTTTAGCAATTAGTTGCCATTTTAATTAAATAATTACCTTATTTACACATTCTGTTGCTATAGAAAGTGGATTTTAATAAAACTCAGGATGTTATCATTGAAAGTGTCTACAGTTAGCTAAATTTTGGAGTTAGCTTGATTCAAGATGGCTGCCAAAGCTGATCGACATTAGCAAACATAAAAATGGCAGCTTTATTATATAATTACTGAAAACACACAAACATTTACAGAAATATTTCATTTGCTCCTTTTTCTGTTTGTCTTGTCATATATTCAAGTTCATTCATTCTTTAAACCAGTAGAAACATGTTATAAAACTGTTTCTAAATAACTAAAAGCTCAACAAAGACTCAGGTTTGATAAATTTCCTGAACGATTTTCCTTCTCATCACGCAGCAAACATCTCATCCATCAGACTTCCTGCTGGTGAGATGCTACGTTTAAAAATGTCCTTTAAGCTTCGGCTGTTCTTCAGTTTTCTGATGTTTATTTTAATCCCCAGATTGGCACCAACCGCCCACGAATCTGAGTCATGTCTCCCCGTCTGGGATCAGCTCCATGTTGACCAACAGAGTCCTTTCCACGGCACATGGTGGGTCTCTGCAGGGRACCAGGGTTCAGCTGTTGGATCTATTTATCTCACAGGGAATGGATTTGTATTGTCCTGAATACCCTTCAGTGGTTGTAAACTGTGCAAGAAGCATGTTTAAATTCACCTCATGATTTGTATTTGTTTTTGYACAATCAGCTTCTCTGAATCAGAGCAGAACAGCTACAACAACAGCAAAGGTCACGACCCACGTGCTGATTGAAACCCCTGAGCCAACCAGGACCCCTGAGCTGACCAGGACCCCTGAGCCAACCAGAACCCGTGAGACGACTAGAACCCCTCAACATTCAACAACCTCCATSTCTCCACATCCATCTACGGTCCGAATACCGGAGACATCAAACTCATGGACAAACGAGAGATTAACGGAACCAGAGACTGAACCAGCTATTATGTTAGTTCCGACTGGAGTACCAGACAGAACAATTAGAACATCACCTGGACTCACCACAAACCCCCGCAAAGGTACTACCAGTTTTTCACCTTTGATWATCCAGACTGAACCGACCCCAGGTCTGAATCAAACTTCTCGACGCATGACCTCTGAGCCGACCACTACGCCTGAACCAACCATTACGCCTGAGCAGACCACAACCTCTGAGTCGACAACAACCACAGAGCCTACCACAACCTCTGAGCCGACCACAACTCCCAAGCTGACCACTATGCCTGAGCCGACCACAATCACAGAGCCTACCACAACCTCTGAGCCGACCACAACCACAGAGCCTACCACAACCTCTGAGCCGACAACAACTACAGAGCCTACCACAACCTCTGAGCCGACCACAACTCCCAAGCTGACCACAATGCCTGAGCCGACCACAACCACAGAGCCTACCATGACGTCTGAGCCGACCACAACTCCTGAGCCAACCACAACCACAGAGCCTACCACGACCTCTGAGCCGAAAACAACCACAGAGCCTACCATAACCTCTGAGCCTACCACAACTCCTGAGCCGACCACAACCACAGAGCCTACCACGACCTCTGAGCCGAAAACAACCACAGAGCCTACCATAACCTCTGAGCCTACCACAACTCCTGAGCCGACCACAACCACAGAGCCTACCACAACCTCTGAGCCGACAACAACTACAGAGCCTACCACAACCTCTGAGCCGACCACTATGCCTGAGCCGACCACAACCACAGAACCTACCACGACCTCTGAGCTGACAACAACCACAGAGCCTACCACAACCTCTGAGCCGACCACAACTCCCAGGCCAACCACAACCCCTGAGCTGACTACAACCACAGAGCCTACCACGACGTCTGAGCCTACCAAAACTCCCAAGCCGACTACGACCCCTAAGCAAACCAGTATGCCTGAACAGACCCTTATGCCAGAGCCAATCACGATCCCTGTGCCGACCACAATGCCTGAGCTTATCACATCTCCCAAGCTGATCACAACTCCCAGGCCAACCACGACCATGAACCCTGAGCCAACCATGACTCCTGAGTCAACCACTGTGCCAGAGCTGATCACAACTTCAAAGCCAACCAAGACCCCTAAGGCGACCTCTACACCTGAGCCGATCAGGACTCCCGAGCTGACCACAATGTCTGAGCCTACCAAGACCCCTAAGGTGACTACAACACCTGAGCCTACCATGAACCCTGTGACRACCACAATGCCTCAACKTTCAACAACCTCCACTTCTTCACATCTGTCTACAGTCCAAAGACCCAAGACGCCRAGTTCATGGACGACCCAGGGATTAACGGAACCAGCTGTAGCATTAGCTCTGACAATCAGAACTACAATGTCTGAACACACCAAAGAACCTCGTAGAGATACAGCTGTCTTTTCAACTTTGATTAATCTGACAGAACCAACCCCAGGTCTGAGTAAAACTTCTCGACATATTACCCCTGACCCAACTACGATGCCTGAGCCAACCACTACCCCTGACCCAACTACGATGTCTGAGCCAACCACTACCCCTGACCCAACTACGATACCTGAGCCATCCACTACCCCTGACCCAACTACGATGCCTGAGCCAGCCACTACCCCTGACCCAACTACGATGCCTGAGCCAACCACTACCCCTGACCCAACTACGATGCCTGAGCCAACCACTACCCCTGACCCAACTATGATACCTGAGCCAACCACTACCCCTGACCCAACTACGATGCCTGAGCCAACCACTACCCCTGACCTAACTACGATACATGAGCCATCTACTACCCCTGACCCAACTACGATGCCTCAACATTCAACAGGCTCCATGTCTCCACATCTTTCTACGGTCCGAAGGCCTGAGACTTTGAGTTCATGGACGACCCAGGGATTGATGGAACCAGCTGTAATATTAGCTCTGACTGGAGTCACAGACAGAACAATCAGAACCCCACTTGATCCTTATAAAGTCACAAACTTTCATTTAGTTTCAACTTTGACTAACCAGACCAAACTGACTTCACCTCCGAGTAAATCCACCTCCGTGAGAGTTTCAACCACCCGACCGACGATGGGACCAACACCGGGCAGAACAGCAACCACCGACCACTACGAGGAGACAGAGGCAGCAGGTGAAATGTATCCAAATGATGTTTTGTTTGTTCGACCCAAACGGGGTCCCTTTTTGCCAAATGTAAGAATATAATTCATGAAATACAAATACTTCTTAAGTACAGTCCTGTTATTTGAATGATTCTGTCC